GTTGGTGTATAGGAATGCCACTGATTTCTGTGCATTGATTTTATATCCTGCCACTTTACTGAATTCCTGTATGAGTTCTAGCAGTTTTGGGGTGGCTCTAGGTTTTCTTTATCCCTTTGTGGAATTTACATATAACTTAGTTGTAACTGGCCAATGATGCCCTTCTTGTAGAGATTATTCACTCCATGTCTTCAAATGCTGCAACCATTGTAAGGGCAAGGACATCCCACTTAACCAGGAAGGAGACCTTTAGTAATGAAGCTCCCAATTTATGCCAAGAAGTTGCCATACCCTGCACACTGGTTACCCATCAAGCAGTGATTGAACCAGTTACAAAACTCCATCTTGCCACCTGTTTTGTCAGATTATTCCTGGCATAACTTGTGCTTTGTTTAGGTTTTCCATGAAGCTCACCATAAGACTGGATTGGACATTTAAGATATTTATTGGAGCAAATGACTATAAATGTTATAGAAGAGGGAACTAGAAAAAGTAAGAGGAACCTTCAGACTATAGTGAAAACATGAAATCTACTAAGGATGGGGATAAAACAAAGGAGACTGGAGTGGATAGAGTCTCGGACTGGAACAGAACATAATGAGAACTTTGACCAGGCTTATGTGGGACCTTTAAGTCAAATTCAGCCATTATAGAAACCCCAGGTCTCTCAGGAATGTGTCTGCATGGGTACTGATGGCATGCTCAGTCACACTTATAGAAGTTGGTGGGAAGTCATCCAACAGGGGCCATAGTTCAATTACACTGTACGTAGCAGGAGAACTGAATGGTGAATTTTCATGGTTATCACTTTGGTTATTAATTCCTAAGGGCATGAATAGGTTGTTCTGGTATGAAAGACTTTTGTGATTTAATAAACTATTAATATTTTTGCTCTAAATATTATCTTAAACTCTAGAAAACTGTTCTTACCTGTGAATAATCATGGAGGTGATGAGTTTTATCTTCTTCAACTTATTATTTTTTCTTTTATATGCTTTTGTTAACTGCATATCTTTAGCTTAGAGCTTGTTATGTAATAATGGGTGTATTTTCAAAATAGAAGTGAGATTTGAGATCATTTATCCATATGCATGTATATTTGCAATATTGCATGACACATTTCTTATTTTCCATTTATATGTATATATATATACATATATATATCTCAATATGTATATTTTGACTTTTTAAAAATCTCCAGATTATATACATGTTGTGCTACCTCTTCCCCCCCAAATGTGCTTAAAAACAAACATATGCAACTCATAAATTTGGTCACCTAGTGTCTCAAAGTGTATTGTTTTGTTGTTGTCCTTGTGTCTAGGATGTGGCTGATTGTTTTACTTAGAGTCTTCTTCATGACAGTTCAAATGGAAAATGCCTGGTGGGTCACAATTCAGCTGAGTTGTACTTCTGAGTGTTTTGTTCCTATTTTTACCTTATAGAAACCATGGCATTTGTAACTGATCTTGTTTCCTTTATCATTAATTAGGCTATAAGCTTAAATCCAATTTTGTGAGGTACATGAAATTTATTTGACATAATTTTTGTTGTTTTTTGTGCTAACACTCTGCCTTTTACTCCGACCAGGAATCTCAGCTAAGGAATGCATCATTGCAGAGTTTAAACCACTGTATCAAATAAGATCAGATTTAAAAAAAAAAAAAAAAGACTATGTCTTAA